AGATGGAGAATACCTGGCTCAGCAAAACTACAAGCGAGAAGGATCTTGGAATTGTCGTAGATCACAAGCTAAATATGAGCCAATAGTGTGATGTGGCTACAAAAAAGGCAAATGCTATTTTAGGTTGCATTAATACAGGTATAGTTTCCAAATCCCACAAGGTGCTTGTCCCCATCTAGTCAGCACTGGTTAGGCCTCACCTTGAGTATTGTATCCAGTTCTGGACACCACACTTCAATAAGGATACTGACAGATTGGAACAAGTTCAGAGGAGGGTGACAAGGATGATCAGGGGGCTGGATCTTATGAGGAAAGGCTGAAAAAATTGGACATTTTTAGCCCTGAGAAAAGAAGACTGCGAGGTGATATGATAGCACTTTTCAAATGTCTGAAAAGCTGTCGTACAGAGGAGGGACAAGATCTGTTCTTGATCATCCCAGAGTGTAGGGCATGCAACAACAGGCTCAAGTTAAAGGAAGCCAGATTCCAGTTGAATATCAGGAAAACTTCCTAACTGTTAGAGCAGTATGACAGTGGAATCAGTTACCTCAGGAGTTGGTGAGTGCTCCAACACTGGAGGTATTCAAGAAAGACTGAGATAATAACCTGGCAGATATGCTTTGATTGTATTCCTGCATTGAGCAGGGAGTTGGACTTGATGGTCCTGTACGCCATTTCCAACTTCACTTTTCTATGATTCTATGATTGGCATACATGTATAAGTGGTGAATCCAGGTCATTGTAATTCAGGACCAAACAGTGATTCAGCCTGGCTTCATACTCGTAGCAAATGAGGGGGACCACCTGTACGCCACTTCCAACTTCACTTTTCTATGATTCTGTGATTTGCATATATGTATAAGTGGTGAATCCAGGTGATTGTAATTCAGTACCAAACAGTGATTCAGCCTGGTTTCATACTCGTAGCAAATGAGGGGGACCACTCCTTCTAAGTTATTGTGGTATCCACTGATGGAACTGGAAGAATTTCATAGAACTTGTTAATGAGGGAGTCTCTTCTAAGATCCTTCTTACTTGGAGCTGTCATTATACTAATTGCTCCTGATGAAGCCAAAGTACAGAGATGAAGGCCATTCTTTCTACTATCCTGTATTGATATTCCCTCTGCAGAATGTTATCTAAACAATGTATTGATAGCAGCCAACAATATCCATGATGCCAGGAAATAAATGTGGCATGTTCAGCAGAATAATGTATGAATCCTAATCATCGAGCTCACAAAATTTCCAAGTGCATCTTGCACTATGATTGTATTTAGAACTTAAACAACATATTAAGCTACTTCTGTTACCTTAATGCAGGGACGTGGTGGCGCTGCGGACTAAACCGCAGAAGCCTGTGCTGCAGGGTCAGAAGACCCAGTGCAACTTGCACTATGATTATATTTAGAACTTAAACAACATGTTAAGCTACTTCTGTTACCGTAATGCAGGGATGTGGTGGCGCTGTGGGCTAAACCGCAGAAGCCTGTGCTGCAGGGTCAGAAGACCAAGCAGTCATAAGATCGAATCCATGCAACGGAGTGAGCTCCCGTCACTTGTCCCAGCTCCCGCCAACCTAGCGGTTCGAAAGCATGCAAATGCGAGTAGATAAATAGGGCCCACCTCGGTGGGAAGGTAACAGCGTTCCGTGTCTAAGTCGCACTGGCCATGTGACCACGGAAGATTGTCTTCGGACAAAATGCTGGCTCTATGGCTTGGAAATGGGGATGAGCACCGCCCCCTAGAGTCGAACACAACTGGACAAAAAAAGTTGTCAAGGGGAACCTTTACCTTTACCTTTACCTTATTACCTTAATAATGTCATGTTGTAATTCCTTGGGGATTATGCTTTGCAGGGCCTTTCTTCATTCTATGCCTTTTGCTAGTGTCTTCGTACATCAAATTACTTATGTATTTGTCTCATCATCTCCACTGATCTTCAGTGTCATACAAGTTCTAATCATCAGGCCACATTGTTCACAGACAGCTTTTGGTAGCTGTGCACTTCTTAAAGCCAGATCATCATTAACTAGCCACTGATCTTCTGTGATGTCAAGGACACATGTAGATTTATAAGGGCTGTGCACAGATCCAAGTCGCCAGATCCTAATTTGATCTTGAGAGATTCAAATTTGAGATTGAGTGTGGGCTTCAAATCTGAATCAGTTTGGAAATTTCAATTGTCAGTCCTCCTAATGATTTCTGCTGGGAAAAAACAGAATTTTTATTGATTTAAGTAAAATCTGGAGACCTTTTTACTGATGTAAGTAAAAGCTGGAGAACCTTGACACTGGAGTAAACCTGCTATGTTTTAGACACTTGGAGATTCTGTCCTCTGTCTCTGTCTCTGTCTCTTTCTCTCTCTCTCTCTCCTTATATTGGCAGCACCTTGTTAGAGCTTTTAGAAAAGCCTCAAGCTTACAGTGAAAGAAGGGGGAGTAGAGGATGGATTAGAGTACTGCACTAGTTCCCTACTGCACTGAAAGTCAGTGCAGTGGGAACTAGGCATAGAATAAGTTTCACCAGCTAACACACAAAAACTTACACAAACTAAACAGATGTTGTGACTCAGATAAACAAATAAAGAAGGCCAGGGGAGTGTTAGCAAAAGGCTACTAGAGTCTTATTAACAAGACCAAAGGTACGGAGGTGTTTCAGATTAAACTCAGAATACAACCAATACAACCTTATTCTCAGAGATCTTTCAATATGACTGCTGCTAACTCTGGCAAAAGGACACATGAAAGAACTCAATATGCATATAAATTTAGTAACCTCACACAATTCTTAAGTATATGCATTGTGGTTGGAGAGTGGTGATGAGATTCTTGCATCATATTTCATGTCAGTGCTGCTAGTGAGGAAAACTGGTAGATACCAGAATTGCTAGTTTGTTCTGAAAAGCTCCAAAACTGCTTGGTTTTCCCTGGAATGCAATCTGGCCCTTTCGCTTTGGTCCAGACTCCACACAAAGCATTTTGGACTAGAATTTGGCATTTTGAAGATGACGGTGTCCAGCTATAAGATCTATATATAGTGTTGTTGGGTGACTACGTAGCCCATTGACTTTGTAAAGCATTGTGCTATTGCCAGGAAAGCTTTTCATATGCCATTTGGTCTGCTGTGGCCCATTCGTACATGTGTGCTACCATGTGATAGTGTTGTAATTTCATGAATGTGTTTGAAACTACTGTAAATATCCTGTCTCCTCCAAACGGATGACAAAAGCCTTCTGAACTATTCTTTGGATCCAGTTCAGTGGACATTACCTTCACTACTAGATGCAGGGTTAATACCAGCTCTCCCTCGTTCAGAGACTTTTAGAATGTGAAGATCACATTTGGCAAAGCAAAACAGACATGGTTGGTCAAAAGAAATAAAGGCCAAAATCCTGTTGTGCAACTTGAGGTTGTGTGCATGATAGTTGCACTACCACCAGAATGGACTTGCCATCCATGAAGCACTTTGGATGGTGCATTGTGCAATTAGTTGTGTTAGGGTCACAAAACCAATTATACTATACAACTTGTTGCAAGACATAGTTATGCTGGCACATTTATGCTGGTGTATTTTATATTACACCGACATGAACAGGATATTAGCCAAAGTTAACTAAGTAACTTTAATAATTGCTAGAAATGTCCTTGTATAGAATACTAAAATAAGTTGCACTCCTTTGAAATGAATGTATTATAAAAAGAAATTGAACCTCTTGGTTCTGCAGGGAGATTTTTATCCAGCATTCAAAGTGATCATTTGGAAAGGAACTACTCCCACTCTAGCTGCTTGAATATAATATCTGTACGAGTCATATCATGTACCAGCATGGAACTCACAAAGAAAAATAAATGTGAATTTGCCCAAATCAGTCTATATTTAGAATATTAAGCAGTTCCCACTATATTGAGTGGGAACAGAGAAAATGCTATTCCAGTGAAGCTGCCCTTGTGCTGAAAACATGTGGTAGTACTGTGTTTATCATTCTGTGGTAGTTTCTGCTGTGCTAGAAACTTTAGTGGAAACAACTTGACTGAGAAGAGAGATTGTTCAAAACCAGAGTAAATAAAATGCCAAAGGGGCGAAGAGTGAGTGCATATATTCTCAATGTCTTCCTGTTCTAGTAGGTGTAAATAATTTCTTGCGCTGCCTAGGGGGGTTGGCTTCTCTATTGAAAAGCATATCTTTCAAGAATGCATTTTCCTCTTGAGCAGCATGCTTGCTTTATTAGATTTCAGTCTGCTTTTGTTAGTGCTACACTGCAGCTGGATGAACATTTTTTCAGTGAGAGGAGAGCTGGGTTTCTTTTCATGTTTCTTTAGCACATGATTATGACACAATGTAAAAGACATTTTGTTCAATTTCAGAACCAGATAGTGATTAAGAATGACTTTAAAAAAAACCCACACTGCTTTGGATTCTCTATGTAAAAAGAATTTAGCTAGAAGCAATGTTGTAACACTAAGTCACATAAATGTACTTTATGTTTTTAGCTCTAACACCTCACTTAAATGACCAAAGAGTATGATGTGGGCTGGAATTCAAAAAAGAGGCAGCTTCTATACATGTTAAGGCCACTTGAAAGTATTGTTTAACTATTTTATTTTCTATTTATATGATAATTGTATGTTTTAGCTTGTTGTAAACTGCCCAGAATGGTACATTGAACGAATGGGGTGGTATATAAATGTAAACCATAAATAAATAAATGAAACACAATTATGTCATGGAAAGTTGGCCAAGATCCTACTGTTAATCCCAATAATGTAAACCCCGCATGAATCAATGGGGTTTACATTAGTGTGGACTCACCATTCAGCGATTATATGTTTTAGCTTGTTGTAAACTTCCCAGAATGGTACATTGAACGAATGGGGTGGTATATAAATGTAAACCATAAATAAATAAATGAAACACAATTATGTCATGGAAAGTTGGCCAAGATCCTACTGTTAATCCCAATAATGTAAACCCCGCATGAATCAATGGGGTTTACATTAGTGTGGACTCACCATTCAGCGTGTGATTTAGTGGGTCTACTTTAGTTGACAGAAGTGGTAGAATTTTGGCAAATGTATGAGGCCTTTTATCGTTGTAAACGCCTATATGAAATGACCTGAAATAAGTATCTTAGACTAATTTATGGATTGGAACATAAGTGTCCCTAGATTTCACTCCCCTCACCCCAATGTTACAATGCAGTTCTTGACAATTTAAATAGATTAGAGTAGGAATTTCATGGTGCCAAAATGTCATATAAGACTGGTGACATCACTTTGTTATTATTTTTTTTTGAAATAAACATTTCAGCCCCCCCCCCATCTCCAGAGGGACTCTTGAGATCCCTTTCATCATGGGGAAGACACAAGGAGCCACAGGATGAGGGGGCACAGTCTTTAATTTTTGAAAGTGTTTGATGGTGATTTTCAGAAATTAAAGACTTCCCCACCAGTCCCACAGCCCATAACAGCTTCCTGAGATCTTGAGGGACCCTTGGGACCTCCAGAGGGAAACTGGAAATCTTAATCTTTGAAAAGACCACCATAGCTGACGATGTCATCAAACTTCTGTGGTGTAAATTTTGGCAACAGGATTTCAGCTAATGTATTTATCATGTTTTCTGCAAAGATGTTCCCCCAAGAAGTGAAAATGATATTTGTCATAGTAAGTGATACCCCCCCATCAGCTTCTCGTTGGTATGCTTTGTTATGTTATTGGTTATTGGAAGATGAAGATTAACTTGCAATTCTGAATGCTGAGGCACATATCTCTGAAGGAATCCTACTGTGAAGGGGAAATGAATTAACAGGAAGAAATGCAAACATCCCTTAAATTCTAGTTTGACTCTCTGAAAACACTGCAAACCAACTATCTGTGAAGATTTTCAGTCATCCAGATGAGGTTATCTGGAAGTTGAGTCATGGCAACTGGACTTCTTACTTGTTAAGTTGAAACATTTCACTACTCATTCAAGTAGCTTCTCCAGCATGTACACATCCGCCCATCAATTCAGTTTTCTTGTTCGGTCAAATATTTCTTCCACAGTTTCTGGTGCTTTTTCCTTAACATATTCCTTAAAATCACTTCTAATGTAGCAATAGTGATAAACAGTTTAAAACCAGCAGCAAGTTGACAACAGGGCTAAGCTGAAAGGAGAGAGATTTGATGTTATTTAATATTTCACCAAAGGGAAGCAAAAGCATTTGCAGTTTGAGAGATTACTTGGAGTCTGGCATTACAATAGGGGGTGAAAATGTTTGCCATGAAGTCCTTCTCACTCCTTAAATAGTTAATCTGTGAATACTTCATTATTGTAAACGAAGAACTCTCTCAGTCCACCCCTGTCTCAAGCTCTCCTAATTTGCAGCAACCTTGCAAAAGGAGGCAGAAGGATCATGTTCCCTTTGCAGGGACAGGATCATGCCACCTCTCAGTTCTAAATTGGAGAAAGGTCTTGCAATTTGGCAGGCTAAAGGAGGCAGTTAGCAGTGCTGTGGGCTGCATGATCCACTGCCCTCTTCTGACAGTTTGCAAGAGGTTGATCTGCTTAGAAAAGTGAGGGTACTTTACATTGGTTCAGATCACCTATGTGACAGGTTCAAGAAGTGCTGGTCTCACATTCATTTTCTACATTTAAATTTAGTGCTATGATGACACTTGCTATGTGGGTCAGAAGGTAAAGATCAGAAGAGGTAGAGGGAAAAAGCCATGTTGCCAAAGAGTAGCTGCTCAGAGAAGTAATGTCTGCAAACATTCCTGAAGAAGAGTAAAATGATGACAGCCAGAACAATTTTTCACTAATAATAATTTTTAAAAATTCCCTTTGTATTTCCGTATAGCTGCTAGATGACTAACACTTGTAATGTGCCTATGGGTGCAGCACTCCACATAATGGCTGATGTAATGGTTCTGCAAGGCGGAGGTCACCCTATTCAGAGCAACAGGGCTTCTGTTTGCACTAGGTGATAATGAATACCCCCTTGCACAAATGCTAGAGAAAGAGCAACCACATATGCCAGGGACTGTTTGCCCATGCAGTAAACATGAACAGGATCTGGCTCTAGTTTATTAAATTCCTTCTATGACATTAATTTGCTCTTTAGAACTAGGTCAGATTTTTGACTTGCTGGTATTCTGTGTTGCCTTGAAATACAGCTCTCAAGCTAGGGATCATTTGATGACAAAATCATCTGAATTTGTAGTTGGGCACAAGGCATGGAATACTTAGGCATGTCAACATGTTCTGTAATTTGAGCCCTCAGCCAGCAATTGAATAAGCTCACCTCTGCTAGAACAGGCAAAGCGCCAGACCCAATTATATGTGTAAAAAACTTTGGGTGTGAAGCTTCATTTTCATGTCTCTGTGGATGTTGCACAATTGGTGTCTGTCAAAGGAGTATTTCCTCCAAATGAAAACAAGCCACGTTTTGCTACCCTCTCACATACTCCCTATGCAGCCAAGTATGTTTAGATGGAATTATTTAAAAATGTTCATCAGTCACACATGAGTTGTAGTTTGTAAGCCATGCATTAATTTGTCAGTTCCTTCTACGGTCTTGCCTGAGGAAAATAAACAATCAAACAAACAACAAACAAACAAACATTGAAGCTGTGGATGATTATGATGCTGTATCTCAAATAAACACATGTACAGTAATGTGGTGTTGTGTTGTGTTCTGTTTGTTTTTTAAGGCACATATAACCACAGTTATGAAACTGACTGGGAGACCATGCTGTATATTGCCTTTTTTTTTTCCTAATGTAAAGGGTATTTCAGAAACAATTTAGATTTCTCTCCTAGTGCAAAGAATCCAAAGAAAAGAATGCATATTTATGATTAGCAGCAACGACGGCTTAGTGGGGCATATCTGTTTTTCATTGGTTTATAGCTTCTGGTTGTAGCAATTAGGCAAAAGAATACAGTTATTATATGGCTGGTAAAACATAGGCTGACGACCTCTAATTGCAAAGTTAATGTAATATAAGGTCCCCTAGCAGCAAGTCCCAACCTTTGGTAACCCAAGTGTTCTTGGACTGCTGTGCTGGCTGCGGTTTCTGGGAGTTGCGGTCCAAGAACACCTGGTTACCCAAGGTTGGGAACCACTGTCTTAGAGGCTGTCTTTCTAGGACAAGCATGATGCAGACCGCAAGCATTTTCCTTCTTCCTTTAACTCAAGGCATCACCCCTGCTCAGTGGCTGGTCCCCTTTTACCACTCTCTTTAGTGCCTAGTGTGACAAACCCAGACCTACTGGGATCTGCCACACAGTTACACTAAGCTGCCACCAACCATTCCCTTTAAGAAGTCACACAGACCAGGGATGGATTTTTAAACAATAAAAGAATAAGGTTTATTTTAAATACACACAGGCAAAAATAAAACGATCAGGTTAATAACATAAAGTAACGTGGCTTATTCTCACTCATACAAGCATACAGTTTGGTTCACCCAGAACCTTAACTGGAAGCACAGACCCTGAACCTATCAGTTCTGGCTAACCCACAGACACCTGAACCTATCAGGTTGGTACTCTGACACACAGTAGTACCCTGTCTGACACACAGACTCCCACAACAGCTTCTTCTTCCCAGCTGCTGCTTCTTCACCCAGAGTCTCCTTCTGATGTCTCCACACACGCATCACATATTTATACAGTACAGCCCCTCCTCCTGATGTCCCGCCTTCCACTCCCCATAGGATGGAACTTTCCCTCCAAACCCATGACAGACAGGTAACATCAGTGCTGTATGTAACACCTCCCCTCTTTAAAAGTTGTTTTGTAGGGGGAAAGCTAAAAGTGCTTTTCACCAAAAAA